GACACGAAAAAATGCGAATAAGAGAGCAGAAAAGTGGATGATGCTTGGCCAAGGCAGGGGTGTAGTTGGGGAATAACGTCGGGGATAGATAGATACTTGGCAGATGTATTATAGACAACATTTATGGCACACTATGGATATGTTCAAGCAGCTGAAGCCTTCGAAAATAAGAGCCCTCTCTCAGACCTCTCCGCCACTGTCGGCCATCGGTAGGGACCAGCAACCACTTAATGATAATTGCGCTGCTTAAAAATGAACCTCCAATTCAAAGGGGAAGAAATGGAAAAGGACAACCCTAAACATGGCAACCCGAACTGAAAAAGGGGTCACGTTGCTCTTGGCATTTGTTGAGGCAATCCTCCCACTGCCAACAGTTTATACTCGTATTTCCAGCCATACGCTCAATGTTTGAATGTTTCAAGCTGGCCAGCACAAAAATATTTGCTGCTTTTCGCCGCTTAACAACTTACAGAATGAAAAGGGATGTCCCCGCCACAACAGCCATCAGCAGGGAAAGTGCCGGACAAAAGCCAAGCCCACGCACATTTTTCACATAATTTCCTTGGGGATTAAGTTTCCACTTGGCCCCACCGATTGGACCAAAGGAAGCTGCCGCAACGCCTCCTCCTCCTTGCGCCTTTATTAATTTTGTGCCACAAAAGTAAATAGCAAACGTAGGAAGACCCGAGTAAATTTCATTAAAGGACAACGACAGGGAGTGGAAAAGGAAGCAGGCAGCAGGGTAAGCTAAAATGTAACTGATAGATAAAGTACGATTACGATTTCTCGGGTCACAAATCACACGGCGACGCGACAGGAAATGACATTTGTTGTCGCCTGGAAAATGGAATAACCAAAATCGGTAATGGCAGATGGCTGATAGGTGGATGGGTGGTAGGTATGGGAGCCAAATGAAATTACAATCAGTCTGGCCTCAAACTGAATTTAGTTCCCTTGGAATGCTGCGCCGCTTCGGCTCTTCCCTCTCTTTTTCGGGAAGTTTTTCACTCCGTGCTACCGCAGAGTATTCTGCATAAAGAATTTGCCTGCAGGGCACCGAGCAATTTATGCGCACACCTCTTTCGGAATTTAACAAAAAATATAAAAAATTTACACGCAACAAAAAAAAATCTTTATAAAAGTATGAAACATGACTGCAAGCAAAGGACAGAGAACGGTGCAAAAAGTGTGACAGAGTGAGAGAAAGACAAAGAGAAAGAGAGAGGGAGAGCAATGCCTGGGAGACTACACACTTCTTCTTGTTCTTGGGGTTTGCACTTGCTCTTGGGTGGGAATAAAATACTCGTAGCCGGTAGCGCCCGACACTTTTTAAAGCGTCAAAAATGTGTTGTTGCGGTTTAAGTCGCACAGGAAGGAGGTCGGAGTCATGGAAATATTTTCACAATTTTACGCAGCAGACATTTAAACATGGGGGCATATGAGACCATGGAATGCACTAATATATAACACAATTTTTGGGTGTAGATAGGAGTAAACCCCAGTCGTGGGTGAATTAAACAAAATATTTAGCCAGAAAAATCCAACATAAACCTCTTTTTTTGTGTTGAATCTGCCTGTGAGTCTGTTGGGAATAAGGCTTAAAATAAATTATAGACAAAATCAAGGCAATTAAATCAAAGCCACGTCAGTAACTCAAACAAGGAGGCGGCCTCCAACGTTTGCTGCCTCATGAATATGCAACGACTGAGCGTGTGGCAAGGAGTGTTGTATCTGTTGTGGGTCTGCATGGAGGGGGTGTCAGGGCAGGACAGCAGGCAAATGGGGCAGCATTTTCGTGATTGAATTCATCGATGAACAACAACTGCGGGGCAAGAGGCAGAGAGTGTCAGACAGAAAGAGAGAGAGCACGAGGAGTGAAGTAAACCACAGCAGTTGAAGTGTATGCAAGTGATTGGCCACATGTGCCAAGCTGAATGAACCTCTGTATACCCTACCCTATCACACCAGCACTACCACCCCAACCAACCGCTATCAGTGTCTGTCCATCCTGGAGTGGTGCACAACAGCGTGAAATGTGCGGCTGGGGGGCATTGAAACAAATCACCTTGATTGATGATTGGCATTTTGTTGCCAAGTGGCAGACTGTGAGAGCGGGGCACACTCTGGGCCATATCTCCCCCCGCCTCTGACACACTCTCTCTCCCTTTCCTCAGCGTCTCTGCTTGTGTAAGTCAAAACCCCAAAAGTCAACCGCAATTAAATGAAAAGGCTGACAGAGAGGGTTTGGAGTACGGATTGTGGATTGTGGAGTACTATTGAGGGGGGAATTTGAGTTTCTGTTTTGGGTTTATTTCTGCAGTAACAGGTGCAGGCACTGCTCCTGCTCCTCCTCTACCCTCCACCACCCTCTGGTGTGTCTGTTATCCTTCAGGCACTGCAGTTGTCAGCGCTGTCAGATGTCAGGCATTGTTTCCACTGTTTAATCGAATTAACAGATATGTTCGACTGTTTATTGTGCTAATTAAAAATTGTAAGAGTTGTGGTTGGCGGTTAAAAGCGGAAAGCGAAGGATCGATGAATCATGGCTCCAGAGATAAGTGTCAAATAAGCAGCGATGCCTTACCATTTATTGTTTTCGTTTATTTGTTGGAAGCGTTTGTCTGGTTAAGCCACAGAGTGTTTCGAATTCCTGTAGATAGAATTCAAGTCTTGAAGCACCCTGCTGCTCTACCGCATACATACATAAATATGTACATAAAATCTACATTCATCTCCATGTTCTTCTCTTTTCAGTGTTCCCTGCAATATTTGCTTGAAATCAACAAAAATGCCTAATTGCCAGAGCGAGTAGCCAGCCCTCTGCCTGAGTGTCTTCAATCTCTTCAAAGACATGAGGAAACCGGCCTTCCCGCAGCACGCAACAATTTCTCCAACATAATCAAATAATTCATCATCATAAGCTGATTCCATGGCCAGCACATAAGCGCCTAACAATCTCAGTTTGCAGCCGCACAGACACTGCTACACATTCCCCAATGCCCCATACCCAGAGCAAGGCTTCAGATCCCATAAGCGTAAACAGATTGATTGGAAGGGTGATCAGGCGGAAGCCCCTTAGGCCGCACACTTAACCAATGCAGGATAGGACGAGCGAGCACCTTGGTCCCCGCAGCCTAAGGTGTTGTTCGGCAGGAGCAGAGTAGCAGTGTAGCTTCGCGCCGATGCAATCAATCAGTATTCAATACATTTTGGAGAAGGCAGACAAAGGAAGGACTGTGGGGAGAAATCTGTTATGTGTAAGGAAGGGACAGGAACAGGGACAGGAACAGGGAAAGGGACTGGGACTGGGCGGGAGTTAAAAAAAATAAATCAAACAGCGCTTAAAAATTGATTAACGTTCGCCCAACCAGTTAAACGTCAGCAAATTGTATTTTTATGTTAAGACCATTAATGAAAACCGGAAGCAAACAGAAACCAAATGGATGCAGCGCAAAAAATGCTGAAACCTGGTAAAACCAAAAGGGAAAAACATTTTTTTGCATTTAATGTACACAGAAGGAGCGGAGGATGGAAGGATGTTCAGGATATGCCAGCGGCGTAGGCAGCGACGGCGGTGGCTGCATTGGCAGCACTTCGATTAAGTAGCTTTGTAAACAGCGGGAGCTGCCACGGGAGCAACCGTTCGGTCCGACTGGCAACACGGACTACGACCGGGACAAGGACCAGGTCCAGCAGGGACCTACGCGCAGACACTTTAAAATGCATAACTTCTGAATGAGGTGCGGCGCAGAGTTCTGGCTGAAGGGCATCCTGCTGCATCCGCCACCTCCGCTGCGTCTTGTTTGCTTCGCTTTTAATGCATTTTACGCCATGCTGCGTTTTTCCTCATCCCCACAGGTCTGTCCTTCAGCTCCTTTTGTTTTCCGCTCGCTGAAAAATTCAATGCAAATGCTATCAATGCAAATAAAGCTGATTAAGCTGCATTTTGATCAACTTTCCAGTGAGTTTACATTTAAATGAGTCCGAGAACTGGAAAGCTGCTGAAAGAAAAATCATGAATCAACCACATTGATGTAGCATCAACACAAACGGAAAAAAAGAAACGTGTCCCCTAAACCAGTCAGCCATTTCTTAGCCACTCTTTGTCTTTCAAAGCCAAATTAATTAGTGGCTTAAATAAAGCAAACTTTGGTCAATCAGGACTGGAAAAATTCAATGAAAAGAAGAGACCATACGTCTTGCCAGTTCGAAGAGCCAGGTCATTCTTTTGACACAGGCCTGTGTGGTTGTTTAGAGTTCAAAATTAACTTTGCTGATGCCGTGGCTGGAACTGGATCGAATGGTCACCACCCATCGTCGATGGGCACTGTGCAGCCTTGAGGTCCTGGGCATGCACTCATAGCCTTTGCGCATTTCCCACCACCATAGGATCTTTGCAAGTGCCATGTCGCCTTTTCGCATATCCGCTGGCGTTCATTGCCTGTCTGGACCGGGGCTCGTATTGTGCAGTGGAGCATCATCAGGCGGTGCTGCTTCCGCTGCTGTATGAAGTCAAAGAAATTGTAGTCGATCAGTAGTAGCAACTAATTATTTTTGAGAATCTGAAACACATACAGACAATTCTGTGGCCAATAGGCATACTCACCTGGTACCGGGCGCACAGGATACAGTTCATGTGATGCTTCTGTTCTGTCCCTTCGCGTGGTTAGTCATTTCTGCCAACATTACCACCAGGGCGCACACATCACCAGCTGCCACTACGAATTAAACATCGGCTTGAAGCACAAGAGTGGAGCTTAGATCTAAAAACACACAAAAATAGATACAATTAGCCAAGTGAACATCCGACACATTGACGATTATACCACTATATACCGATATACCGGCCACTCAACTTTTCCGTCAAAATATACCGAAAAATATATAATATATATAAAACGGTCACTCTACGAAGTATTGTCTTGCAGAACGCTTGTAAAATTGCCAAGGTTTTTGACCTTTATATGTATATCTCAAACATCTTTGCAGTTATACAATTGTTCTATGGGTTTTACTACTTTATTCGAGCTAGAAAAGCCTCTTTAGCCCTAAAATTCAAAGTGATTTTTCTCATCTCTCAATGATGCCTTCTCAGCTAAGCCAACTTCCCTCCCCAAGAGAAAGCCCAAACCATTCTACATAGCCACTCTATCTGGAAGTTCTTACAAAGTGAGCTAAAGTTTTGGGCTGTTTGCTTATTTGTCGTGTAATTAAAAGGCTTGCACATTAATTTCAGCTGCACGAATAGGAAATACGCAATGCAGACATGACCGGGAATGGTACGGACCCGAAAAGCCTTACAAAGCGCTCCCATGATAAATCCCTGGTAATTTTTTTTAGGGCCGAGGGGGAGCGCAAGTGGAGACCGGCCATCCTTTGTCCAACTGAAACTTATTTTATTTTCATTCTCAGTTTTTTGGCTGCCCCTCAACGGGCTCGCTCAAACAACAAAGTCAACAAGGAAAACTAGGAAAAGCTGCCGAGAAGGAGAAGTAAAATCTCTTGCAATTAGCGCTGGGAAAAGTTCTCGGCTCTAATTGATTTGCTGTAAACCGTTTGACGCTTTGGTCGTCGTCCTGCTTTGCGATGCCTGCAAGCTCAACTTTAAAATTTAATGCCCTCCCATCCCATGGCGTCCTTCGTCCTGATGCACTAAACTATGCAACACAATTGTTATTGAACACGTGCACGCGCCCTCTGCAGCCATGTGGAGCAGAAGAAGGAGCAGCCCCAGCACCAGCACCAGCAGCAGGAGAGCATTCGAAGAGAAGGGAAAGAGCGGAGTAGAGCGCAGAGCCATCGTCAAAAGCAAAACAAAGAGGTTTTTTCCCAGCACAACTCGGGTGCTTAAAAATGCTAACAAGTTGGGGAAAAAATGTGTGGGAAAAAGGTGCCAGAGGGTTGACAGCTGGGTTCAGCAAAAGGATTAATGATTGGGAACAAGACACGAAGCCCAACGGCGCAACCGAATAAAGAAGATCTGTCCCATGGCAGAGATTAGAAGAGATCAAAAACCGGACATCATTTTACAGTTCAGTTACAGCTCAGAGCTGTGCCGGAATATGGCGTAGAATATTATTTCGAATTCAAAAGAAGACTTAGGAGCATAGGTAATCCGAATAAGTCTCTCTGCCCATCGATTCCACAAATGTATTGAACCACCCACGGGGGCAGCACTGCCATACCCAAGTGCAACAAAATGCACGGAGGCATTGCGGCAGCAGAAGAGACGAGTAACAGCTTTGCCAAATGGTTGGAGGTAGGGACTATTTGAAAAATTCAAAGCAAACAAAAACGACAACTGGTGGAGCTTTGCACTTGCCTCCCCCGAGTCGCGCCACCCGCCTAAAAAATCACACAAAAGTTATCGCTAGCGTACATGCAAGCGAGACAATAACTCGAACACGCTTCGATCGGGCAGGTGAGAAGTTGTCGAATGCATTCGCAACCCCTTTTAAAGTTTTCCCAACTGAACAAATACAGAGAGCCGACGATAAAGCCTAGCAGCAGCAGCAGAAGACAAACACGTAAGCTGTGAGGGAAGTCCACTCCGCACCACAAAAAAAGAAGAAAGAACAGGAAAGAAAATCCATCAAAAAATTAGCCACTGCCTGAGGCCGTGTCCTGGCGAGAGCACTTGAGTTGAAAACCCATTTTAGCCCCGCTGCCTTTGCCGCTCTTGACGCGGCGTCACTTTTGACGCCTCCGCACCGCAAAGCCGCCACAGGCTGGCAAAAAGTGGAAGGGTGCCGTGCCCCCCTCCGTCTCGTGGTACTCCACGACGACAGACAGTCGAAACGGAACGGTGAGGAAGTTATACTTAAAGCTATGCCGACGCCTTTGACACGCATGGCGGGATGCCACTTTGATGTTTCTCCGTGAAATGAGAAATGGCTGAGAGGTTCGTTCCTACGGCCCGGGCGGCAAATATTTGCTAAATGCAAATTACTTTTGACGCTTGACAAAATGAAAACGTAAGTGAAATGATTGGCTCATCTCATCCAAGATCCCCAGAAGGGAGAGTGCGAGTACGAAGGTGAAGGTTTGTGTTTCAGTCAGCAGAGGGCTGTGACGTGTGGATGGGAATCATAATTTATACTCCAAGTTTAAAGTTCTGCCCAAAAACAAGCTTTTCTTAAAATGTACCAAAGTTAGTCGAGAGTCCTGCCAAATAACTTGTGGATTACAAGTAGTTGTTTATTTTGATTCATTTATTGATTGATTTATTTGAACATTTTAATACATTTGTAACCCTACAATTTCCCTATTTTTATTCCGAAAACCAATGAATGGTTTTTTTTTTAGCTATTTCGTGCTCAAGCCGACAAGTATTTTCTTCTCTCGGTATTTTTGTGTCTTTTGTGATACGAATAAACTTTAAAAATTTGGGATCATCGACTGCCGATTTAAGATGTTCGTTCTTTTGCTGAAGAATTAATTTCAAATGTTTACTAATTTTGAAAGGAGAAACAAGTTAATTCGTTACTTCATTGTTCCAAATTCATTGGTGTATTATTGATTGGCCATATAGAGTACGTTTAGAGTGTGGTAGAATGTGGATCGAGTGCTGGTTTGCGGTTTACGGTGCTTGTTACTGAGATCAGATCAATGTACTAGCCCTTAGCCGTCGCTCTTGGGCGGTGTGAACCAGCCACCATGTTCGTGATACTTCATAATATACTGGAAATTCTCCCTGGCTCGAAGAAGGTTATACTGGCGACCTTCGCGCAACTTCGGATCCAACACAGCCCGGGCACTGCCCCTGGTGAGAGTGGCACTTATTTGAATAATCATCGCCTCCATGGTGTAGGCGGAGCTCCAGCCCTGTTTCGTCAGCAGCTCCATGCATATGGCACCGCCCGAGAGCACAAATCCGTGTTGGATGACTGGCGACACGACGCGCACAAATGGTGGCTCGAATGGATACTTGTCGCTGAAGTTGATGCGAAGAAGAACGATCCCCTCTTCGCCCGATTCCTTCAGCTTCATCAGATCCTGGTGCAGTGTGCTGTCCGGATCCACACGCTTGATGCGTACGTTCCACTCGTAAAGAGAGTCATTGACGAGTTCCACCGAGAAATGGTCAGTTTTAACGGCATCCGATTGATAAACAGTACGTAGCTCCTTCATCAAGCGATCGGACGACTGTACAGAGTATTCTTTGGAGCCCTCAGTATGATATTTCCTTAATTGCCTACGCAGTCTGTCGAGTGTGTCCGAATCTTCCTTTTTCATGCCTTCATTGCTTTCATCGCCAGCGTCCGCATCTATTAATATATCCATTTCGAACTCATCCTCGTCCTTGCCATCGCTCTCCTGTTCTTTCTCGCTGTTTTCCCCAGCGGGATCCTCGAGCTCAAAGTCATCGGAGTCGGCTTCTTCGCAGGAGGCGAACGGCTCCTCGGCCGGGGGCGCGTCGACCGGAAACTTCAGATTAACTACATCGTCCGGCAGTGGCACATTGTGCAACTGGCAGAGCTCATGGAGCAGAATGCGCACCTGGCTGATCAGGTGATTGTCCGGCCCATCCGTGTGGCTGAGCACTTGCACGGCACTGGCCACGCTCGTCTCCTCGCTCTCTGCATACCAGACTGGCGGCGAACCAGGGTAGTCCGGGGTGATGCTGGCCATGATGTCGTATCGCTTGCCGCTCTCGTCGATGAAGCGAAACTCGATTTCGTCCAGGCTGGAGTTCAGTGTCTGGAAGCGTTCGTGTGTCTTGGTGAAGATCTTCTCCAATGCCTTGATCTCTAGCTTCAGTTCTCGTAGACACGCCATAATTTCTGAAAGACGCGCAACAAGTTAGCTCTGAGTCCGACAATTTTAATTTTTACTTTTTGTTTCTGTACTTTACACTTTTTGTTTAATTTGTGGCAGTATTTACTATGCTGTGACGTCGCTGCCTTCTTTTCTCCTTATTTTTATACTTCACAGAGAACTCAGCAGCTCCTGGAGAAAGGGTGCGAAATCTAAAACTTTACGAAGCTTCACCAAAAGCAATTTATCTTACTAGCTGGTAAAATAAAACCAGATTTTGCCACGCTTTATCCAAAATGCTTGGGAAATAGAGATGTGTTCGCAGGCTTGAAACTATCGAATAAGGACTTAAGTATTGCCAGCCGACGGAAAATTTAATTGGATTGGTAATCGATCACTGTTATTAAATAACACAAAAGAGCTAGGGAACATACATTTAATTTCAGTCGAAAATAGGTAAAGGATGTACCATAATGCTTTGCTATTCGATAGTGTTGACAAAACATTATGACAGCCGATTATATTTTAGGTCAGTTGGGGTACTCTTGCTTCAAAAATCTGCTGCTGTGGTTATCGGCAGGTGGAACGATTAAAAGCTGCGGCTGGAAAACATTCTGAAAGGGATTTTTACAATAAGGAAAAGCAACATTTACATATTGAATGTATTTTACAATACATAGTTCTATATATTCAACAAATCACTTTCGGACGCAGTTTCCTCTGTTCGAAATATTCGATTGCTTTTGCGCTTAACAGCACTTTTTGCACTTTAAGCGCAACTATCACCTTTAATATATCAAAGTTTCAATAAAGAAATGCCTGACAGTAACAAATACGATTCATAAAGATTCAGTAATATATATACTTTAAATCCAATTGACGGCAAAATGCTGATAAAGCCTACCAACAACTCTAGTCATTTTAGATTTCCAATAAACTGCATTAATCGGATAAGTATTTTTGAAGCGAATTTCAATTTCGATTCCCTAAAGTACACTCGAGCATCCACACCCCCACATTCACGGCATTATATTCTTGGCATAGCCCAAACAATAGCTACTGGGTCGCATAGAGATTCCGCTCCATGGAGCGACTCTGATGCATATGTTGCCACTGACATCTAGAATGAAACTTCATTGCAATTAAACACTCAATTTGCAGACTCTCCTGGAATGTTTACAAATGAAATTTGGGCAAAGGTAAAGTTTGTGCGCTGCCAGGCAATGGGAGCAGGCAGCTGGGAGGATGATCTGTGACTGGATCTGTCTCTGGCTCTAGCTCTGGGAGACGTAGACAGCGTCAACAAAAGTCGCAAAACAAATAGCAAAAGTAAAATGGCTCCCCACAACTTTTAGGTTGGTTAAGAGGAAACATTTTCTACCATCTAAAGACGCTGACATTGCGCATTTGCCGTAGATTATTACAAAAGTTTAAATACACAGACAGATGCAGATACAGTCGACCCAGGGAACTGCACTCGTCTCGTGATTATAGTGCCGGAATATACTCTCCATCTCTTGGTGCCCTCAGGTGTTTTAACTGTTTCAATGGTGGTGGCCACCAAGACCAAATCCAAGCTGACACTCAAGGAGTTGAATGGAGAGCTGGAGTTGAGGTTTTGAAGCTTTTAAATAGCCTTGGCAGTTGCAGTTGTTTCCACACTTTTCCCCAAGGCGTTTTGCTTTTTCCCCCGATGGCAGAGAAAGAGAAATTGTGCACACACATGCCATCAGACCGCAAATTGTTTGGCCAGCAGTTTATTAGAGCCAGACAGATTGTTCTTTAGATTGCGAATTTATAAACTTGGAACGTGTTGCGGGTAAGTTGTAGTGGCAGAGTTTGTCGAATAGCAATCGATATATGATGTGCGATTTTGATGGTCATTTTGATTTGCTTTCATTTTAGATATTCTTCTGTCAACATCTTCATCTGTCAGTGCCTTCACCTTTCAGCAGAAGGCAGCGCCAATCCGTCATTAACTTCCTGCTGAAAGCAACTTCCTTCTTTTGCACTTTATGTGTATCTTTCGACTCGTGTCACCGCCGAAAACACACATCTGTAATTCTGCTTACATCCCACAATTTCCTGGCTTTCTGTGATGTGTTTCTGTTGGTGGCGTTTGCTTTCGTTTTAATTTGCCAGCCCGCATAATTTTGCTATGATTTGCACTTCTTAATTAATTATTTTTCGTTCTCCTTGCCAAAAGCGGATTTGAAGAAGCTGTGTCAGCACCTCCACCCCCCTCACACACATGAGGGTCAACCCTACCCTTTCCCATAGAAAAACTTTGGGAAAAACTTTCCTCCTCATCCCCCCATACACACGCACACACCACACACACACAGCCATATAGAAACAAAGAAAAGGGGTTGATAGCCGGAAGAGGCAATCCGAGAAATTCTTTCCTTTTGTTTAGGCTGTGAGCTGAGAGGAAATTTGTTTGGAAATTCTCGTATCTTGATGTCCCTTTACATGAATGCAGTTAAGTGAAATTTCCTATTTAGTTTACCCTTCAAGGGGGGTATATGAACGAAGACTTAGACAGGGTATAGCTCAGGGTATTTCAATTCCTTTATTTTCTTTATTGTGTCACCTTTGACACACTCACCCTGCTATGCGTATGCGTAATACGAGTATCGACAAAAAGCCAATGCAAATAATCCCCATTCATTGGGAGAAGGCTTAGCTCAGCGAAATCCCCCAAGCTCATGGCAATTGACGGCAACCAAAGCGGAACCAGGAACAGAACCAGAGCCAGACATCTCCCAGCTTTTGTTTCATTGGCCACGGCAGGAGCGCCTTTTTTTCTATTAGTTCTGATTAAGCTTCGCCCGACCGCGTCGTTTTGCTTGTCGTGCCATTCCCTGTCAATTGCATTTGGTTTTAGTGAGAATGCAAATTGGTGCCCCTATCGCCCGAGGGAGGGGTTGGGGTGAGCTTCGACAGCCGCTCATTATTTAGACGCTTAACCACGCATCGCTTTGCATTACGAGATTAAAGTTTAAAACGCAGAGCAAACGCCACCTGGCTTACGGAAATTGAAAATTTCACGCGAGAACGCGAATGCTCTTGGATTTTTTGGGCTGAGGGTGCCAAATGTCAAAGTGGCATCAGCCACACCCAGCAACCCACAACCACGAGCAAACGCAGAAGAATCCCAACATTCGACATCTACATCTACATCTCCATTGGCATCTCCCATCGCTCCCATCGCTGTGGTGGCGCATCTCGCATCTCCATCCATTGCCGGCGCATGTAAATTGCTCTGGCAAACAAATCACGTGCTCCGTATACCAAACGCCGTGCAATGCGCGTCGCTCTCATTCTACCGGTCCCCGTCGCCGTCCTCGTGCTGGTCCTCCTGTCTGGCACCCCGTTCTGGTTCCTCTCTCGTCATATCAAAAGCCAGCAAAGGCTGCAGGATTTTTGCGGTCTGTAGCTGAAAGGCTAAGCAACCGCATTGAGTGACTGAGTGCCGTTATTTGGCCATGTCCGTCCCTCCCCCCATGCTCCACATCCAAAGGGGGGCCTTAGCAACCGCATCCGAGAATGAATGAACGGGTTCGACAAACGTCTCGCTCGCTTTGTCTGCTCGGTTCTGTTACTATCAAACGGGCATACGAGTCGATGGTAAAGTCCTTTAAGAATTTAGCCCAGCGCGTGTGTGTGTGTGTCCTGGATATCGAGCAGATATGTGATGATGAGTGATATTAAAGAAAATTCTTTGAAGTTGAAAATGGAAACGCAGCCAGAAACTTGAAGCATTATATGATGTAACAGATTGTGAATAATATCCATATCCCGTATCTATATATATTGATTTATCTCCCATCTTCTAATGAACTCCAATGCACCGCAGCCGCAGCCACAAATAAACCGCCAAAAACCTGCGGCAGAACCTAATGAAAAAGTCTTGGTAATTACTTGAAAATATGCATTAAAAACTTTTTGGCCTGGTAATGAAGAAGTACGGCTTGAAGAAGTCCCAGAACTTGATATTGGATCAATTAAAAGAGAAAACTCGACAAGGCAATGATGCAACAAATTAAAACGCATACGAAGCGAAGGCTAATGAAATTCTAAGGTTGAGAGATGGTTGGGACCAAAGCCATTCCCCAGGCCATCCACAAGGAAAGGAGAGTAATGGGGAATGGTTTAAGTGCTTGTGGAGGTACTTTTTCTATAGACAAGGGCGGAAATTACCGAAAAATTGTGCCGAACAGATGAGCAACAACAATAAACTTGGCCCGAAAATAAAGGCAAGTGGAGTTAAAAGTTAAGCCAACAAATGAAGATGAGGATGGAAATGGAAATGGGTGCGGGAGCGTGATAAGATGGGAAGAGGATTGCGGTAGAGGTTCAGAATGGGACGTCGTGGGCCTACACAGACACACAAAGCCACACATAAGCACATGTTACGCACACATAGACAGATGTGGAGCCAACTTCAAGCGCAATTTTCCGCAACAACAAAAAGTTTAATTGAGGATAAACTTTGCTGCGTTTGCGCTGCTGTTGAAAATCAACCAGCGTCGACATGGAAAACTCACAGCCTCCTCCCCGCCTAGAGAGAAGAGAGAAATTGCGTGTATGTTTTTCTCTTATCTCTCTGGCTGTTTAAGTTTTCGCTTTCTACTTTGCATTACTTTTCCCAATTTCCTTTTCTCCTGCCGCTGTTGCGGAAAACTTCAAGTTTAAATTCTGATGAAAGGAACCTAGAAAATATAGTTGAACATTTATTGGTCATTCAGTGCGCTTCGCCTCCTTCATTGTTTGCCAAAGCCAAATGAATGGCCAATGCCGATGAAAAGGGAATGAAAAACGATTTTCTTGCAGGAGCCGGAGTCCTCTCACATAACCTGGTGACCCACCACCACCATCACTCCCACACTGCCTCATGTGGCATAATTCGTTTTAAGAAACTGTCTACGTGAGGGAGGGTGAGACTGGGCCACTGTGGACAATGGAACACAAATGACCCGAATAAGACCCGACGACGCGACACAAACGATTGACTCTACATGGTTCCTGGTCCCTGTGGAAGGGACCCCGAGACGGGGCTTTAGAGAAAAAAGAATGAATGAATGATGAAAACTAAAAGTGGCAGAAGCTCCCAATTGAATGCTCTTCCTTGACTTTCAAAGAGGAATCCCAGCAATCAGACAAGCGATAATTAAACCACCATCTGAATGCTCCTGCAAAAAAGAATTGAATGGAATTTCGATTCATTGTTGGTTTAGCTTATTCTTAAGCTACAGCGGGATGTAGTTTCCTTTCAGGATACACTTTCTCTCACGGAAAACCAGAGCAATCTTGTGGCCTGGACAAACAATGGAAGCAATTTTTTGTTAACCAATTGAAACGATTTTTATTACGGGCTATCAGTCATTGAACACACACGATGGGGCACACGATGGTTGGTTAATTCTACCACAGAGCGGGCGCAGCAGCATAGTTCAGCGGTGCTGGTGCATAGGCCAGGGGTGCCGAGTATTTGGCAATGACAGGTGCTCCATAGGGATGGGCAAAGGGAGCCGTGTAGGGTGCTGCAAGGGGGGCGGCGAAGGGAGTTCCGAAGGGAGCGGCATATTGAGCTGCAAAGGGTGCTGCTCGGACGATGGGTGCCGGCAAAGGAGCAGCCAGAGGTGCAGCAAACGGAGCTGCCACAGTCCTAACCACGGGAACTGGCACTGGTGCAGGAGCCACGGGCACTTGGGCAATCACTGGAGCCGTCGCAATGCCATTGAAGGTCCTGGCCACCACCTGACTGCTGGCTGCCGTAACAACGGGCGCAGGAGCAGCAAACAGAGGAGCGGCCAGTGGAGCATGGAGAAGTCCCGGCTTGGCGGCCACACAGGCAATCAGAGCACAGATTACAACGGCCTGTATACGATGATGTAGGAATTCCATTAGTTAGTCATCAAAAGCACACAAAATGCGTCAAGACTACTTACGTATTTGAACATTTTGGAGGGTATTTTGATTTGTTTTTGGTTTGGCTTGGGTTTGGTTTTGTCGGTTGGAGAGCGAAGCGCTGACTGATGACAAGTGATGGCAGCCCCTGGCATATTTATACCAAAACGTGGGCGAACCGCTGGGCTACTTGAAATTCTGGCAGCGACGTGACCATTGGCCCATTATAAGTGTCGGCAAATATTAGTTGGTGGTTCGTTGCTTGGATTAGGTCTTTGAGGGACAACATAAAACCCGAAGGGCAGCCAAATAACGTACTTGGACAGCTGCAGTCAACCACAGTGGCTAATTATACAGAAATTTGTATTGGAAGAGCAGGGAGTGCACTCCGCATTTGGTTGATGGCATCCATATAATGATTAAAGTAGGTTAATCGAAATGGAAAAATGCTTCCACTTTGAACTAAATATTATGTCTTTTGCCCAGCATTTGTAACTCTTTCCTTTGGGTCAGTCTTCTATCCACTGGATATTTATTAGCTGCCAGCTCTGGTATGTAACAAAATAGTGATAACAATAATTCAAGTGAAAATATTTCACCCATGGACCCTTTGTCTTTGGCCCGAGGCGCTTACAGATTGGCCAAAGACAAAGAGAGGGAGACATGTACCTGTTGACAGTCCCATGGAACCTGGCCAATTAAGCATTTTGAGCACGTCCCTGGCCACAAACGTTGGTCAGCAGAAAGTACACACACACACGCATGAATGACTCCAGGATGGAGCACGATACCCAATCTGGGGGGCGGGCTAGTGGGTGACATTATAATATTATTTATTTGCACAATTCGGGTCAAGGTTGGATGCGGTTTTTAGGTATTTCACCTGAGAGTTGAGTGACCCTTTGGGGGGTTTGTTTAGAGAAAGATAGATTAAATGGCTTCATTTGCACTAAAGGTGAATAAAAGGTAGAGCAGAAATAGCTTGTTAGGAAAACAGCAGTAAGTAGACGACACATTGACTTTTTCATATCTTTCATATTTGATTAAATGAATTAGAAATTGCTGAAAATTATTGTCTGACATTTCAGCGCCAATAAAACCCGCTTTTTAAGAACATTTCCTGAAGCCCTGACTTTGCTTCACATGCAACCGAAAATTCTATGCAAAGCACCTGTAAGTCAATAGTTTTTGCACCTTGTAAACGCGTAGATATAGCCACGCAACAGCGCACTTATTACAGCTAACCGTGGAGTCGTACGCTCTGAATGCTAATTTCCTGGGCTCCCTCCGTCACGTTCGCTTTGTCGATTTGCTATAAAAATAAATCGAATACGACGGCCGGGCATCAAACACATTTTCCCTCCTCAAGAAGCCACAAACTCATACCTGAACCAAACCAATATGTTCAAATACGTAAGTGAAGGAGAGCACTCTTCTACGAGTCAAGTCATCATCTTATTCTGTCTTCCTAGGTAATTGTCATTTGCGCTCTCATCGCCTGCGTTGCCGGCAAGCCAGGTCATCTTCTGTCCGCCCAACTGTTAGCTGCACCCGCACCACTGTTAGCTGCACCTGCTCCAGTGGTGACCGCAACCAGCAGCCAGTTGATAGCCAGAAACTTCAATGGCATTGCTGCGGCGCCCGTAATTGCCTCTGTGCCGGTGGCAGCTCCAGTTCCGGTTGTCAAGGCCGTGGCACCAGTTGCCACTCGCATAATCTCGCCCTTTGCGGCTCCTCTGATTGCCAAATATGCTGCTGCTGCTCCATTGCACTACACAACGCCCTTGGGCTACGCCACTGCACCTCAACCAATCTATTTTTAAGGCTGTTTCTCTGTGATAGTATTGAAATATAATTAAACTTTCTAAGCAAAACAAATAATTCAAGTTCTTTTACCGAGAAATGCCGCTAATGCCATTGATTGCCACTCCCAATTTATTCGGACAGTGGTTGAAACAGAGTATTGTTGGACCCAATGGGTGTTCCCAGGAAAATATGAAAGAGCCATTCAAATATTAAACGTGTTGTACCCATCCCATCAGTCTCTTAGCTCGCCTGCATCACAATGTCTAGACTATTTTATCCATTGAGACTGCCTGCCAGTTGATTGTCCCATTTGGGGGGTTATACAAGTTCACGGTCAGAGGGCGAACAAACAACGCAACAACGCAACAACGAAATTCCAATTCCTTTCATACAAATTATGAAAAATATGAAGGTCAGAGGGTATCCTTCGACCGTGACATAGTGGCAGCAACTTACCAATAGCTGAACAAATAAAACTACATCTGCAAAACAAATCAATTTTGGACAATTGAATGGTACGAACAATGGACACCAGCTGCTGTCCATGCTGACAATAATTTTTATTTTCTTTACATGACTTGCATTAGAAAGTCTTCGAGCTGGAGAGCTGTTTGTCGGGCCTTTGTTTGAATGCTACCGTTAAATCCATTTAGAAAAGTCCGATGTCCCTCTCAAAACACAGCAAAGTCGAAGTTTCTTAAATTCGGATTTTGTTTATTCAAAGGTTCTTACAACAGAACTGGTGCGTGGGCAGGAAATGCGTTATAGGCCAGAGGGGACGAGTAAGCCAGAGGCGAGGAGTATGCAAGAGGAGCCGAATGGTAGGCCAAAGGAGCAGCCACAGGAGCAGCGGCATACTTGGCAATCAATGGAGCGGCCAGAGGGGCAGCGGCATACTTGGCGATCACAGGAGCAGCCAGAGGAGCGGCAACTGGAGCGATCACGGGAGCAGCAGCGATTCCATTATAGTTCCTGGCAAACACCTGGCTACTGGTGGCGGTGACAACTGGAGCAGGTGCAGCAACGAAGGCAGCGGGAGCGGTATAGGCCAGAGGAGCACTCAGGAAGCCGGGCTTGGCAGAGGCGCAGGCCAGGATGGCGAGGAAAACAGCAGCCTGCAAATGGCAATGCATAAGGAGACAGATTCACAATCTGAAGAAGTTCATACTCACGAATTTGAACATCTTGTTGGGTTGTTGTGATTAGCTCGGAAACTTGAACTTGTCTGATGTCGCTTAACAATATCCAGGGCGATATTTATACCATGGCTACAATGACTCGTCTGCACTTAAACTACGACTTTGACCTCGCATTTAGTGGCAAATTCGACATGCTATACATTCAAGAGAAGGAAACACCGCAAAGTGCAAGTGAAGCGGGCCAGGCATGGCATTTAAATGAACCACATAAGCGTATTCGAACTCGTACTCCCACTTGTTGTGGACATAAGTTGCAGACAGACTTTGGGTATAAATAAGCCGAGCTAACGGCAGTGGATATNAAAAAAGGCGGATCTTTGGCAGTTCAGGCGGTAATCGGTCACCGAGAGCTTTATTCAAGACGACACAGGCAGACTTACAGGAACAAAGGCGAGGAGTAGGCCAGCTGAGGGTAAGCAGCGTTGTAGGCCAAAGGAGCAGCCACAGGAGCAGTGGCATACTTGGCAATCACTGGAGCGGCCAGAGGGGCAGCGGCATACTTGGCGATCACAGGAGCAGCCAGAGGAGCAGCAACTGGAGCGATCACGGGAGCAGCAGCGATTCCATTATAGTTCCTGGCAAACACCTGGCTACTGGTGGCGGTGACAACTGGAGCAGGTGCAGCAACGAAGGCAGCGGGAGCGGTATAGGCCAGAGGAGCACTCAGGAAGCCGGGCTTGGCAGAGGCGCAGGCCAGGATGGCGAGGAAAACAGCAGCCTGCAAATGGCAATGCATAAGGAGACAGATTCACAATCTGAAGAAGTTCATACTCACGAATTTGAACATCTTGTTGGGTTGTTGTGATTAGCTCGGAAACTTGAACTTGTCTGATGTCGCTTAACAATATCCAGGGCGATATTTATACCATGGCTACAATGACTCGTCTGCACTTAAACTACGACTTTGACCTCGCATTTAGTGGCAAATTCGACATGCTATACATTCAAGAGAAGGAAACACCGCAAAGTGCAAGTGAAGCGGGCCAGGCATGGCATTTAAATGAACCACATAAGCGTATTCGAACTCGTACTCCCACTTGTTGTGGACATAAGTTGCAGACAGACTTTGGGTATAAATAAGCCGAGCTAACGGCAGTGGATATCAAACGCAATCATCCCTCGAAGAAGCAACATCAACATGTTCAAATACGTAAGTTCTTCCTGAAAGAATGCGGGATGAAGCAATATAATGCAACATCTTTCTCTTCCACTTGCAGGCCGCTGTCATCCTCTCCATCCTGGCCTGCGCCTCCGCCAAACCCGGTTTCCTGAGTGCTCCTCTGGCCTACAGCGCCCTTCCTGCTGCTGTCGTTGCTGCTCCTGCTCCAGTTGTCACCGCCACCAGTAGCCAGGTGTTTGCCAGGAACTACAATGGAATCGCCACAGCTCCAGTGATCGCTCCAGTTGCTGCTCCTCTGGCCGCTCCAGTGATCGCCAAGTATGCCGCTGCTCCTTTGGCTGCTCCTGTGATCGCCAAGTATGCCGCTGCTCCTTTGGCTGCTCCGTTGGCCTACAACGCTGCTCCTCTTGCCTACACCTCGCATCTGGCCAGTCCTCTGGCTTACTCGTCCCCTCTGGCCTATAACGCATTTCCTGCCCACGCACCAGTTCTGTTGTAAGAACTTTTCAATAAACAAAATACGAATTTAAGAAACTTCGACTTCGCTGAATTCTGAGAGGGACATCGGACTCTGCTAATTGAACTAAACGGTTTCATTTCAACAAAGGCCCCAGAAACAGCTCTCAAGCTTAAAGACTTTCTAATGCAAGTCACGTAATTGAAAGAAATATTGTTGTCAGCACTGACAGCAGCTGGTGTCCATTGTATGTAATATTTAATTGTCCGTAATTTATTTTTTGGTGCAAATTTATTTGGTCAGTTTTTGTATACAGCTTGCAATAATTTCAAGGTCGAACAGTGACCTGTAACCTTGGAAACAGGATACGATATTTAATATTCTAGGTTTTGATATTTAGTTTGTTGAGGTTCATTGAATGCTTTGATGGCCAGAAGGCAGCGAGAAGCCTTTTTTTTGCTCACTGACCGGCTACTGGACAGTCTCAAACTTACTATATTCTTTATCATTCAATCCACATATTTGTAACAACGATGTGCATATCTCTCATAGATGCTTTGGCTGGATCGCCATTTTTCGTCCTCGAATTTTCGAAATAAAGAGTTACGAAACAAATAGATACGAAATCGCACCGCCACAACCAAAGAAAGTAATCTAATTCCAAGCATATTTCAATAAGAGCGCATATTTTGGATAGATTCATAAAAGCTTTGGTATAACTGGACTGAAAATTCATGTTTTTGTTTGCCATTTTGCCGACGGTGGCCACCAATCTGGACCACAAATATTTTATGAGATTTGTTCTTTGAATTGGTGCCTCACAACACTGCACTGCCCCACTGCGCGATAATTTACCCGATGGATTTTTCACCTTTGCTTGTGCCGAGCGAGCGAGCGGCGCAGCTTTGAGTGCGTGGGAAGCTTAGTTTCTAGAACATTCCATGCTCTCTCATTTGACTTTGAATTTTGTGTTCACCCTTTCCTACATCAAGAGAGCGCGTTTGATGAGTGATGACTTGCAACGGTGAATGATGAGAAGAAGTGCAGCACACCTGGGTGCGGTTGGAGAGGTAAGGAACAATGCAAACTATAAGGAGAGAATGAACAGCATGGAATGTACAAACTACTACGTAAAGAACATTCCAAGGCTCTCCCTCAACAGAACTTCGTAATCGCTATCTCATTGCACTTTTACTTTCGTATTCTCCCTATCCTAATCCAAGAGAGCGAACGTTTGTGCGAGGCGAGCTGGTGTTTGGTCACTGTCCACAGCAAAATCTATTGTATGTAGATCGCTGTCAAAGAGGCCATTTTCCAACAGGCACAAACGGCTGGAAAGTTCATTGCACTTTAAATATCGTTTGGGACCCAGCGACCTTGGCCTAGTTAAAGGTTCGTGCAAAGAAAACCTTACAAAAACAACTCTTTGGTCACTCTTTAATGTCACGCATTCAGCAGCGGCCACCACTGACTAAATAACTCGTCCGCTGGCTACGTGATCTGCATGCACGCGGGAGAAACGGAGTGCGAGTGGACAGTAGCTGCCTTCGTGTATGGGATTCACCCCAGACAACTGATGATTCACTTAATAGCCGACAGATGAGACGCTGGTAATTATGGACTTAAGAGATTTTTATGGTTCATTCTAGAATCTTACAACAGAACAGGTGCGTGGGCAGGAAAGGTGTTATAGGCTAGAGGAGCTGAGTAAGCCAGAGGCGAGGTGTAGGCAAGAGGAGCAGCGTTGTAGGCCAACGGAGCAGCCAAAGGAGCAGCGCCATACTTGGCGATCACTGGAGCGGCCAGAGGAGCAGCAACTGGAGCGATCACTGGAGCTGTGGCGATTCCATTGTAGTTCCTGGCAAACACCTGGCTACTGGTGGCGGTGACAACTGGAGCAGGTGCAGCAACGACAGCAGCAGGAAGGGCGCTGTAGGCCAGAGGAGCACTCAGGAAACCGGGTTTGGCGGAGGCGCAGGCCAGGATGGAGAGGATGACAGCAGCCTGCAAGTGGAAGAGAAAGATGTTGCATTATATTGCTTCATCCCGCATTCTTTCAGGAAGAACTTACGTATTTGAACATGTTGATGTTGCTTCTTCGAGGGATGATTGCGTTTGATATCCACTGCCGTTAGCTCGGCTTATTTATACCCAAAGTCTGTCTGCAACTTATGTCCACAACAAGTGGGAGTACGAGTTCGAATACGCTTATGTGGTTCATTTAAATGCCATGCCTGGCCCGCTTCACTTGCACTTTGCGGTGTTTCCTTCTCTTGAATGTATAGCATGTCGAATTTGCCACTAAATGCGAGGTCAAAGTCGTAGTTTAAGTGCAGACGAGTCATTGTAGCCATGGTATAAATATCGCCCTGGATATTGTTAAGCGACATCAGACAAGTTCAAGTTTCCGAGCTAATCACAACAACCCAACAAGATGTTCAAATTCGTGAGTATGAACTTCTTCAGATTGTGAATCTGTCTCCTTATGCATTGCCATTTGCAGGCTGCTGTTTTCCTCGCCATCCTGGCCTGCGCCTCTGCCAAGCCCGGCTTCCTGAGTGCTCCTCTGGCCTATACCGCTCCCGCTGCCTTCGTTGCTGCACCTGCTCCAGTTGTTACCGCCACCAGTAGCCAGGTGTTTGCCAGGAACTATAATGGAATCGCTGCTGCTCCCGTGATCGCTCCAGTTGCCGCTCCTCTGGCTGCTCCTGTGATCGCCAAGTATGCCGCTGCCCCTCTGGCCGCTCCATTGATTGCCAAGTATGCCGCTGCTCCTGTGGCTGCTCCTTTGGCCTACCATTCGGCTCCTCTTGCATACTCCTCGCCTCTGGCTTACTCGTCCCCTCTGGCCTATAACGCATTTCCTGCCCACGCACCAGTTCTGTTGTAAGAACCTTTGAATAAACAAAATCCGAATTTNTTGCGTTTGATATCCACTGCCGTTAGCTCGGCTTATTTATACCCAAAGTCTGTCTGCAACTTATGTCCACAACAAGTGGGAGTACGAGTTCGAATACGCTTATGTGGTTCATTTAAATGCCATGCCTGGCCCGCTTCACTTGCACTTTGCGGTGTTTCCTTCTCTTGAATGTATAGCATGTCGAATTTGCCACTAAATGCGAGGTCAAAGTCGTAGTTTAAGTGCAGACGAGTCATTGTAGCCATGGTATAAATATCGCCCTGGATATTGTTAAGCGACATCAGACAAGTTCAAGTTTCCGAGCTAATCACAACAACCCAACAAGATGTTCAAATTCGTGAGTATGAACTTCTTCAGATTGTGAATCTGTCTCCTTATGCATTGCCATTTGCAGGCTGCTGTTTTCCTCGCCATCCTGGCCTGCGCCTCTGCCAAGCCCGGCTTCCTGAGTGCTCCTCTGGCCTATACCGCTCCCGCTGCCTTCGTTGCTGCACCTGCTCCAGTTGTTACCGCCACCAGTAGCCAGGTGTTTGCCAGGAACTATAATGGAATCGCTGCTGCTCCCGTGATCGCTCCAGTTGCTGCTCCTCTGGCTGCTCCTGTGATCGCCAAGTATGCCGCTGCCCCTCTGGCCGCTCCAGTGATTGCCAAGTATGCCACTGCTCCTGTGGCTGCTCCTTTGGCCTACAACGCTGCTTACCCTCAGCTGGCCTACTCCTCGCCTTTGTTCCTGTAAGTCTGCCTGTGTCGTCTTGAATAAAGCTCTCGGTGACCGATTACCGCCTGAACTGCCAAAGATCCGCCTTTTTTCCATTTCTCCTGCTCCCTGCGCTCTGTGGCTCTGGGTATTTGTTAGTTTCCGCTTATCTGAAACGCTTTCAGTGCGAATTTCATGCATAGATGAACAATTTAAATGGCCATTTTGGCTTTGCGCGCACACATAAAGGGGAGCGGCTTGCCAGCAGCTGCCAAAAGGCAGAGGGGAAGCCGAAACAATCCCTGGCATATGTTATCGCCTGCGACAGGCACACATGCCACCGTAGGCGCTGTCTGTTTGGATCTCCTTAAATTTGATAAGTCGCAAGTCGTTGCAGAGCTTGTGATTACAAAAGCCGAAAATTGCAAATAAGGAGACAGAAATCGCTGCATAATTAAGTTTACCTCTGAGAAATAACTACATCTGCAACAGCGAAAAAAAATACATAATAAAAAGTGACAAGGCGACTTTTGCGTTTGCTCGTCTAAATAATTAAAAGTTTGCCCTTGCCCAGCGTCCACGCCCTAATTTTGTTTGTTGACAGGTTTTTGTTTGCCATTTTGTAATTGCTGTTAATGGCCAAAACAAGCAACACAACGAGGCACACGACGGGGAGTCCATGGAGAGTGGAAGCAGGCAGTCGTACAGCGAAAATCTCCCAGCACTACACGAATTGTGCATTAAAAAATGGCGCGCATGTTGGGACAGAAGCAAAAAAGCCGACAAGAAACGCAAATGAAGTTCCTCCGGCAGTATGGAAACCAGATTTAGGTTCAGATTCAGATTCGGAGTCAGCCTAGTTACGAAACTTTATGAGTGGCTTATGCTTCTCGTTCCTCTCTGTATGTGTGTTGTGTCTGTTTGTAGATGTTTTCTGCTGGTTGTTAATTTTGTTTGTCGACAAGACACGAAATGGCTGAATAATGGCCAGGCTACACTTCGCTTAAAGTTTGACTTGCTTGCAACACGGAACCTGATGCAGATGCCACCACTGAGCACAACACACGGGTCGATGCACAGTCGGATAAGATTATTTTCCTATATGTCGCTTAATTTAATTATTCGGAAATGGAAATATGGGTTGACGAAACGCAAAGACAAGGCTATGTTGGAGAAAGAGGTCAGAATTGTGCTTGCACCGCTTAATTTCGCCAAGAAAGCGATCAAGCAGTGAGCTGCAGAGACCTGAAGCAGTTCCCCGCGAAAGCCTGAAGCAGTGGGGTTCAAGCAGAGCGCTACGGCGATGAACCCTGAAAGTTTTGGTTCGTTTTGGAGCTTTGGTCTATTTTCCACTCTCCACAAGGCAACACTTCGAATATTTTGGCCCTCAAATATTGCATCGATTGCAAAAGAAGTTAACGTAGTATTGATAGCATTCCTTATTTAATTAATACTGACCTCACGCAACAGCAGTGCCACAAGACTGCTCGGACCCTCGCTAATGATGCGCAAGGCAGGCCATGGCTTAGGGCCTATCTCATGGGAAATATTGCCCCCCGGTTGGCCATCTATATGGCTAATTAGGCTCAACAAATTACAGAATATGATTAATAGAGAGCACGGGCTGGCAATTAACTTTTTGCGATAAATAGGCAAGCAACAAAAACATTTGTATGTGTATAAATTAAAGCAGATTTATCGGACCGCCCACTTAGAGAAGAGAAGCCCCAAGGGCAGTTCTGAGTTCTGAATTCTGAGGGAAGGGAAGGATTTGCTTTTTAGCCCTGCTACCATTCGACAATTCACGTAGTGACATTTACATTTTTGATTGCTTCAATATTTCTTGCATTGCTTTCGGCCTTATTGCCGTTGAAGGTGTTGCTGTTGCCCAGCAGAGAAGAGTGAAGAGTGTCCCACTGGACAAAAAATGCGACTCGAGGAACGTGTCGTGTAAATTAAAAAGGTTTTTGTTTGTGGGGAGTTTTGGTTTTCGGTTGCAGACTGATACACGAGAGGTCAGCGTGGCTTTAAAATTTCCCCGTCCAAGTTTATGCAAATCATGTTTGGAGAGGGTGGGGAGGTATTCCTGGTCTCTTCCCAGGCGTGACAAGGTCTAATTATGGCGGTACGTGGTTTGTCTTCTGTCTGTTTTTTAGGTTCAATGTGATTTGTCTAAATTGACTGTTGTTCCTTTGCCCTCAGCCACCGGCAAGAGGCGAATTTCAATCAAAAGGATTCCCCTTTTCTTCGGCGGGGATTAAAGACAAAGCAACCCACAAACAAAGAGCCAGGGAATATTATATTTCCCCGCAATTGTTTATGGTGCCCGTCCATCCATGCTCCGAAACAGAAATCGGGATGATGGGGCGACTTTTTTAAGGTGGGGAGATTCGTGCTCAAGCAGCGGACCAAATAAAAATAAGGAGCCAGAAAAGTGTTTGAAGGAGCAGGGGAGGGAAAAAGGCGGGAGGTGCGGGATCTGCCAGGCAGGATACGGTGCTCGAGAGTTGCGCCTCTGGACTTCAGGACTCGAGAAGTGACGTGTTTGCCGTTGCAGCAATACTTAACCTTGGCTGTATACGGCCGAGGACACGGCACTCGAGTTATGAATTAAATTCCTGCCATGACTCCTGCCTGCAGAGATAGCACATGCCAAGATATATGTGCATGTGTACATCTATATCTCTGTCAGAACTTTAGCCCAAAAGCCCTGCGGCCTTACGTTCATTCGCTCTGCTGCTACAGACAGAAAGCTTTCGCTGCTTTCCATTCAGCAACTGCTCTTTGCTAAGAGCTTTGCGACTTAAGAGAAATTTTAGTCTAGCAAGAGCACAGGGGCAGAGAAATTGTTACAAAAAAAGAGAAATGGTACAAAACAGAGAGAAACTGTTACAAAGTAAATGTTCTGGGGGTTATCGAAGATGTTAATCTACAACACATTGAAAGAAGCGGCGTATGCAACCTGATTTGTGTTGTATTAAATCTATTATGACTTTAGGAGCTAAAAATTGTTCAAAATTATGTGCAAGCGGATTAAATGTTTAGCTTAAAGTGCTTACAAACATATGTACATGTTAAGTAGGAATTGTATATTATTTTTTTTACCCTGCTTGATATTTCTGCAGACTTCGGTACTGGGCTGCAATGATATTATATGAAAATTACAATTAAAATCCTCTACAGCATGCTTTTCGGAAAGGTTTTCAATATATATCTACACTTTCATGGCATGCAGCTTTGGTGACGATCACAGACATGCAAAAATGAACAGTCAGGTGCGCCCAAAAGCGAGCTGGTAGTTACTGAAGACCAAACTTATACTATAGAAAAAACAAATGAAATACTATTAAATAAATTATTATATGATGATTGCCGATCTTTGCTGGTACTTCTGGGAAGGGGCTCAGCAATGTCCCTCGCACAACTTCTCGCATTTTGTAATGTAAATCAACAGTGTTTCAAAGCTTTCTAATGTTGTACAATGTTTCGAATATTATAGCAGTTGCTTTTCTTTTGGCTAAGCAACATCTGAATATAAGCTTACATTTCTATGAAAGTTTTAGGGAACGTTCATATATTTGTTGGGCATTAGCTCGAGCCTTAGCTGCTGATTGTGGGCTCCATGCAAAAAGCGATCAAAAATTAAAAACTTTCTGGCCACACAGATGTGAGAGTTGTGTAGGTAACTTCAGGTGGTTTTTATTTGGGCGCTTTTTCTTTTGCCGTTTGTCTTTGGGTACATAGCCACATACTTCACATCCATATGGGAGAATGGCAGAGAGAAGAGAGTGGAGTACAGAGTGCAGACAACAGTCAGGTAGTTAAAACTTTTAAATTGGGGGCGGGGATCATTTGTGATTTTCTGTCTGGGCAGAAGCGACAAAAACGGAGAGTGGAGAGTGGAGAGAAGACCAATTCGGAGAGGAAGCCGGCAAAGTTACAGTCAAGCTAAAAGCGCTCTGTCACTGCTCATTTGTTGCTAATAATTATAAAAGTTTCGTTCAATTCCCCCAAGTGACACAAGTGCCACAAAAAATATAGAAAAACTGCTCCAGACTCCCTGTCTCTCTGTCTGTCCGATGGATAAAAAGAGAGTTGAAGGCGAAGGCGGAGGGCGGCTAAAGTTTAGCAATTGTTTAGTTTGGCCAGATGCGTCGTTAATTTTTGAAAATGTTTGCTGGAGCTCAGATTTCGCAAAAAGAATAGTTCTTCAGTCGCTGAACAGCCTAAAAGCTAGAAGTATTCAATTTTTATTTGCTTACTTCATAACAATAGAAGGGGGAGGACCCTTAGAGGGCCCTTTTATGTAAGGCATTTAGTTTGTGGACTTGGACCGCAGCCAGAATTCCACGCTAGAGGCAAACAAGTCGAAGAAAGCGAGCGCCAAATTGCCTTAAAAGCCTTTTGAAGTCAAAAGTTTGGCCTGTTTGCGCATAATTATTTACTTATGACATAAAACAAAAACACCCCGGCAGGAACAACGAACCCCGAACGCCCGTACACAAACATTTCATTACCTTATACATATTGCCGTGGAAGATCTTGCTCCATAGCGCCATCATCGCTCTCTTCATCGCTGTGGAGATTTCCATCCTTATCGCCGAACATTCTTCGCTCAGCTATTTCCATCTGGGTCTGGAGAATGGCTGCTATCGTGTAGGTCCTCGATATGCGATCAATGTGCTGTGCCTGCGCCTTGCGCTCATATTCCTCCGCCTCATCCTCCGTCTCGGCGCCCTTTCGCTCCCTGGCCGACCTATAGCCTCTGCCCCGTTTGACACGAGCTGAGATAACAGCAGCAGCCTGCAGGTCCATCTTGCGCTTAATGTTCTCTGCCACGGTGCGGTTCTTGCGCCTGTACTTGCGCTCACACCGGAATGCTTCCCGCACAGTTTTGATAGTGTCCGCATACTCGACGCTAAGGAACTCCCAGAATGTGATCTGATCCTTGCGATTGCGATCGCGGACTTCCTTGGCTGCCTTGAAGTAGTTGTTGAGTATCGACACGAACACGTTTGTCAGCAAAATGGCAATGGTGAAGGCCATTAAGCCGTAGATCAGAATGCCCAGCCAAGTGCCGCCGTTGAAAAGATCGCTGGGCGCGACGTGGCTGGTGAAGCCAAAGGCGAAGCATATGACGGTGGCCATGCCGTGCAGCAGAGTCCTGAAGTTCTCGTTGTTGTTGCCATTGATGGAGACGATGGCAATGCCAAAGGCAAACATAAAGATGCAGATCACACAGGCCGTGCTGAATAGCGCCTTCCAGGCCATCGATAGGGTCTTCGTAAAGATCTGAAAGATGCTGGCGAACTGCATTACCTTCCAAAACCGCAACGTAACGAGGCAGACGAGGAAACCCAGCAGAATGAAGATGAGCTCGGTCAGGCGTGCCGGTATGCGGAAGTCAATGAAATCATGCGTGCTGGCCATTTCCAGGACATCCAACAGCTTGGACACAACGCCTATCCTCAAGGCCATCAAAGTCGCAACTATCATGCTGAGTATCAGGATCAGTATGTCCACCTTGACCCAGAACTTCTTCAGTCGCTTGGGCTCGAACCACAGGGGCACAATCACTGTCATGCCCAGCTCCAGCCAGATGATCGCGTAGGCGAACAAACAAATCATTCTATACCAGGGCAGAGTCTCCACCGTGTCCGTCAGGGACACACTATTCACGTACATGCTGCTGTGTATGATGCCGTAGGGCAGATTCTCGAACCGCAGTGTGACCACACTGAAAATATTGGCATCGACATTGTAGAGCGTAAAGTCCAGGAAGAAGGCTGCCGTCCTGTCATCGAGCCAATTCTTTTCGTACAGATATGTGAGCACCTTCATGCTGTCATCCCTCCTGCTCTGCAGAGTGACAGCGTAGCCCTTCATCTCGGGATAGGAGGCAAAGTAGCCGTGCTGTCTGATGTTTAGAAAGAATCTCTCCCAGAAACTGTAGCTCTTGGACATGGGCAGCCAGGGCAGATAAATGGACCAGTACTTGTTGGTGTAGGGTTCACGTACATAGGGCAGGCTCCAGCCTTCGGAGTACTCCTTGTCCGTGTATATCGGTTCATTTAAGCCGTAGTGCTCTCCAGTGTTTCGCAGCAGCCGCATCTGTATAACGCCCAACAGCTTTGTGTTGTTCACAAGGACCCAGTGAGCGGACTTGCGATGATGATCATTCAACAGGAAGCCATTGAGCAGCGTGTGCTCGATGAAGGGATAAACTTGATGCAGAAACAGCACGTGACTCAGCCCAATCGAATCGGCGTGTTTGTAGTTCAAGAGGTTCGTGATGGACTCCCCATTGAAGTACAGCAGCCGATTGACCATCGCCAGATTCAGAAATAAGTGTATTAGGAACAACTTCCCATACACCCACAGTTCACGGACAATAGTCCTGTACTTGAGGTTCAGCTCCTCGTTGCGATGTCCTGACGTGATCATTAGCTGACTGCGCAGGCTGCGTAGCCGCAGATTCAGATAGTCCATTCGGGTATGCCGCTTTGCCTTTGGGTCCGGCACCAACGGGCGTTGCAACTTGGGCCAGCAGGCAGCATCAATGGCTAAGACCAGAAACTTCAACGGATCAAAAATCAGGAACTGGAAAAGCATCACCAGCAAGAACGCCACCAGAATGGTCTTGAATTTCCTCGCCTCGTGATCGAAGCCAGAGAATTTCCAGATGACCATGAAGCACGAGGCAATTATGCACAGAGTGACAATAAATATCGCGTTGCTCGCCATTGAACTACGATCTTTGATAATCGGAAAATATATATTTTGAATGTAGAAGTTTATCTGAGTAATGGATATGGAATAGGTGACTCTTTTCTATTAGGTTCATTTCATTTATTCTGGCCGTGCGCAAATTATCGTACTATCAGTGGCATTCCCAGGAGCAGTTCTAAGGTCTAAGTGTCCCAACACAATCCCCTGCTGTCCGGCACTGCTGCACTCCATGGACTGGCAATAAAATTCTTAAACCTTTTTTGACAAATGAAACGAGCAACAAACAAGACGCCCAAGCAGCTGCAGCCCAAACGAAAGCTGGAGTGAACAGGGAATCCGGACACAGACCCCCACACAGAGCCAGCCCCCCTGGAACCCGCTCGAGTGCCAACAAAGATTTATGCATTTTACAGGGAAGACTACGCTCTATGCGAAACTAAACAGCAAACAGTTTGAGTGAGGAAAGCTTTCGCTCGCTCTCTGCGTCGCTCCCCCGGCGTCTTCTTCTGTTCCTTCGGTGGAAACGGAAATGAAGCATCGCATGGCCCTGCACCCATCCGGCTGGGGCACCGGGTTGCCATCTATTGTGCCTTTTAATAGACTGCAACTACACGTTACGGCAACTCCCTAGTCCTGGCCTCATCCTGGCACTTTGTTTGCCGGCAAACATTTGTGCAGCTTATTAATATGCATGCCCTGCCACCCTGCCAATCCGCCACTCTGCACACCCACTCGCAGTAGCAGTCGGCCAGGATTAGCTCAGGGAACAGGTGCGGCATCCAACTGGCAATCGGCTAAATTTTATCTTCTAGGCCAAGCAAAAAAGTTTTTCGGCCTTCGGTCCGTATCGAAAAGTCGTTAGTAAGCTGACCACAGAAAGATGTGAGCTAGAGAAAAGTGCAGCCCGCCAAAAAGGAAACTTCCACTGTCCGCCAGGCAGACGAGCAGCCAAGGCTCTTATATCTTACGTCTTAGTCGCAATCGTCCTGCAGCGGGAGCTAGCAGGAAGAAAAAATGCGAAAGTTTACCGAAAGACTTGCACTTAGACCAGCCCGCATAAAAGTTTGCTCTTCCCATTGAAAGTTTTGTGACTGAGTCGAGGTTTCAGCTTCAGTTCTAAGTAGATTTGTTGGCCAGGGCATATGTCTAAGGCTGAGAGGCAAAATGGCAGAAAGAAAGCGAGGGGAGAGGGGAAGACGAATGACGGGCATAAGTACTGCATAATAGGGTTAATAATTATGATAGTCTGAGAAGCAGGAGTCTGAAATGATCAAATTTATGAATATGAAGTCCCCAGATGATGAGAGTTGAGTTATTTATGATTGAATTACAAGTAGGTGAAAAGAGATGCACAGATGGTCGGAGATCTGCAAGCAGTTGACAGTAGATATACTGGAAATGTATATGGTATATGTGCATGTGGATTAGCATCTTAATCATCTGAAACTTCCTGTCAAAACACACACACACACATGGCGCATACTTAATTCCGGCAGCACCCTGTCCGATATCCGACTCGCTCCTCCTCTCTCTCGCTGTGTCTCATTAATCATTGAAGTAGAACAAATCCTGCAGCTCATGGTCCTATAGATTTGTCAGCCAACCCACCCTCTGGCACTTCCGCGTGGCACCTCCAGCAGCCAGCAAAATCAAATTAAGCGAAAATTAAACGGAACATCCAGCAAACACACACACAACTGAATTCATCGGGGAGCTGCTACAATGGGGGAGTTTTGGTAGGGGGAGATTCGTTTATTTTTTGGCAAACAACACAACATATGCGTCCCGTTGACAAATAAAGTTTACAGATATGCAAACAGGGGAAAAATCCCCACGACTATACGAGGATGGAGAGGCAAACGCACACGAGCAAACAATGCCTGAGCAGATGCTGGAGGGAGGTGGAACTGGAACCAACGTAGAAGCTGGAACAACTCCCCAATGAAATAGTTTATGGTAAACCGCAATGCGAAAAATGTCACCTCCTAGCAAAAATGAGCAAGACGAGGCAGTGACATAGATATACACACGGAGAGCAAAAGGAAGGAGAAAGGAGCAGACGGAATGGCTGGCTAAACAAATGCGGAAGTTGTTTGCGTTTGCTGCCGTTGCTTCTGCTTCTGCTGGCAAAGGGCAAACGGAAGCGGCCTATTGGGCAATGGCAATGACAGGCGACAGTCGGCAGGCGACGCCACAAAGCGGAAATGAGCCAACTTGGCTACCACATGAGGCGTACTGGGTATAGTCGCAGACACACACACAGACCCTTACCATAACGCTGACGAAGACAGACAATATCTGAAGTGAACTCTGGAACCTTAACACATTTATTTGGCTTAGGCTAAACGACTGACTTAACTAGTTATTTGAGGCTTACAGGCAGGACTGAGTGCCTTACTGACTGACTGGCATGTCCCACTCCCTGAGTTTTGTAGCACCTGTAAGAATCACACTATGGCCTCTATGGGCCACGCAATGGGGGCTCTGTGAATGCCTCGTTGCGGGAGTCACAGCGATTATCGTCCAGCTCCGTGGGCACCACATCCCTGGCCAGCTGCTGCAGCTTGTCCAGCGGACATTTGAACTCGCAGCCGGGCACAGTCAGCTTCTGGGCCTGCGCCTTGGGATCGTTGCGGAAATAGATCTCCACCCAGTACTCTCCCGTCTCCTTGCTCTTGTGCAGCTCAAAGATGGCCATGGAGGAGTAGCGGGGCAGCTGGCGCTTCCAGATCTTCAGGGCCGAGAGAATGTTCACCACCGTCGAGTCGTGGCCGGTGTAGATGTACATCTTCCGGGCACTCGGCTTGAGCGTTCCGTTCTGTTTCTGCTGCATCTCGCCGAACATTTTCTTGAGGAAGGGCCCGCCCTTGATCTTCTGCATCTCGGGTGTGTACACATTGTACACGTAGCTCTGCTCGGCGAGGAACTGCAGTTTCTCGGGGAAGTACTCGTTGGTCCACTCGGGCAGCTTCAGACCCCACTCCTGTTCGGCCAGCAGCGTCAGATAGAGCGATTGAACATCCTCAGGCTCCTTGAAGCTGAGACCTGTATGTGTCTCCAGTTCCTTGTACATGTCCAGATAGGGTGCCACTTCCTGCTTCACCTCGGGCAGGTCATAGACCTCATGCAGTGCCTCGAAATACCTCGGACAGGGCGTGCGAACTAGTAGAAGCTGTGGGAGACATTGAAAGAGGAGGATTTTACAACTAAGTTCTGTAATAATTGAGTGCAAGGTAAATCGTGTGGTATGAAAACCTAATAAAATACCACTCGATGCGCAACTGGCGGCTGTACAATTAATCATTATAGTTTATGAAGTATACGCACCGTGTCCTCATTGAGCTCCTGCGAGAAGACAGGTATGGGCTGCCAATTAAACCTGCTATTCCACTCCATGTCGGTGCCTTTGGGGGGCAGGAAGCTGGCCAAGACCGTCTGCATGGTCATGTGGGTGCGCGGCACTCCAGTCGCCTGTGCGTGCACCAGCTGCGAGGCGCGGACGGAAGGCGAAAGAGAACAGCAAAGTAGCGAAAACGAAAAGAAGGAGAAGCAGAAATTGAGTGATGAGCCAAGCGCGCTTGAGCTTTGCAATTTGTAAACGTCCGCACTATCAGACACTCCAACCCACTACCCATGGAACCATGGAACCATGGAACGTGGCCATAGATAGTGTAGGGTAATGGGAGGGTGGGGCATGTCGGTTCGTTAGTGAATGCTTACTCACATCGGGACTGTAGTGGGGCGCCAGAAATTTGCCATAACGCTTACGCAGCCAAGTACCAATGTTGAACAGCTCGCGTTTGCCATTCTGGAGCGTTGATTTATTGCATGGCATGAGCGGATGGCACGTGAGACAACACCAGCAGAAGAAAGAGTCCAAGCAGCAGCACCAGGCATGGAGCAGCAGCGGCAGTCGGCATGTAGTGTAGCAGACGGAGACAGCAATGGAGACCGAGACCGAGACCGAGACAGAGACAGAGATGGAGAGAAGTGTTATAAAATAATAAATGCCTTGCATTTTTGCAATTGCATAAACATATGCATGTGTATATGTTAATGCAGCCTCGGCACCCATCCCCGGAACCAACCAAAACCAGCATTCCTGGAAAACATTTGCATTTCAATTTATTTAAATGCTTTGCTGCTTGGGTGGGCTGCTCTCAGTTCGGGGTTGGTTTGGGTTGCGTTCGGGACAGAATGATGGTGCAAAAGTTTCAGCAGCACAACTTTTTCTCCACTCACATTTGTTACTTGTCCCCAGCCATACGGATAGTAGGTCTCATTTACATACGGATCCCTTGGATACGTATCCGCCGGCGTTCGTGGTCCATGTCGGAATACCTGAAGTTTAGCAATTACAATTTTTATTAGTCAAACAGAGTTACCACCCAGACATACACTCTCCCTCCACCCTCTCTACCCTTTTCTCAGAGCCTCTTTAATTAGCCTGACCAGCTTTAAGTACTGCACTTGCACTGCCACTTGCACGAGACTCTGATAAGATTCGTGGAGATCAATCAGCCATGTGCTGAGCATGTGCTATGCCCCAGCTGATTTCAGAGTATTTCCCGCATCTATTTTTATTGCTCCTACTCGTATCTCTGTCGCTGATAAGAGTGCGTCTCGGACGAAGGTCAACCACGAGCTAAGCTAATTGGATTTCCAGTTCATCAAAGTCGCCAAACAAAAATGAAAAGTGCGTCGCAGTTTTGTTGCTTTTGTTTTTGTTTGTGGGACTGCTTTGGTTTTTTTTTTTTGCGAAATGTAATTTGGGTAGCCGGTTTTATGTTTTTTTCTTGTTTTTTGTTTTGACTTGGGTTTGCTTTTGGTTATTTTTGGTGATTTATGAGCTTGTGAACTTAATTAAAGTAAAAGTTATAATGGAAGAATTCGTGTTTTTTTATGCATTAATTAGTTATTTTATAAACAGGTTTATTCCAGTTTTATTTACCACCAACAAG